TGCATTCAAACAGGGCTGCGTTTCCCAAAAGTATCATAAGAAAGCATTAAAGCTTTTGGGAACGGCAGCCCTGAACAATGCTTATCAGAGGACAGAAGGACAGAGTTATTTCACAATAAACAAACTGAAATTGTAGCCTACATAGTTTGTGTAATTACAGTTATTTAAATTGAACGTTGAAAGTTAATATTGATCATGTTCTATTCTGTAATGTTAATAGAAATCATACACTGTCAGAATAAAAAGGTTGCATTTTATTTAAAAGTTTAGTTCAGAAGTATCAAATCGGTATCGATATTGACGATACTGCCTTGAAAAATATCGGTATCGTATCGAAAACAAAATAAGTGGTATCGCCCAACCCTAGCTCTAGCCCAAGCTGTGATATAAACGAATGCTATTGGCTATTTTAAAAAGGGGCGGAGCTGCTTGATATGTCCCGCCCTGTCTTCCTGTTTCAGTTAAAATGACGTCAACACAGACGTCACGCCGTGTGTTTCTAAGCATTTCAGGGGACCTTTAAGGCTCGACTTCACTTTTAGTTGCTTAGAAACATAATGGGTTTTCCATATGAACTGTCAGGATGAAGACTGAACTCTTGGACTTTTACAGAGAAATTATGATAATGATGAAGACTTCGACAGTCAAACTCCATGAAAACAACCACACTCTGAGTGCAGTGAAACACACTACAGGTACATACAGAAACACAGAGCATAGTCAAATGAAAATGATGAAGCATGTTTTACCCAGAGATGGTGAAAACAGCAGCTGAAGTCATCCGTCTTGACGCATAGAACAATAAAAAAAAAAATGGGCTTACTTTAAAAAAAGAGACCCACATCGCATTGATCTGGCTATTAAACTATTCTAAAACTAATTTAGGTATTAATAGGGTGCCGAAATGCTTATTAATATTCATAAGGCTGGGTTAGCCTTGCAGGCAGCTGCGACTCTTTGGAAACAGTGAGATGATGACTTGCGATCTAAATATACCTTCAGGAGAAACATCTTTAAGCATGCATTTTTAAAACCTAATCCACATTTATTTTAGTTGCTTTAATCAATGCAGCAGACGTTGGCTGGAATACATGTTAAATGTAGTCTGAAATGAATGTAGAGAGTTTAAACATAGCAGTTTCTTTTGGGGACAGCAGATGGCAGACTTGATCCAAACCTGTGGTTAAAGCCGTTAGAGCAGGTACAGTGCATATCATTTCCCCAAAAATAAACAGCTCTTTTAGTAATGATGGAAGTGATATTAATACCCCCCTGTCAGCTCAGTTTCTTGGTTTACAGCTTACTGATGTTAGAGTGTTTTTCTGTTTTGCATTCTCTGATGGCGTTGTTTGGCTGTGTGTTTTTATCTCATACTGCATGCTTCTTATACTGTATACTTTGTGTGTAAAAAGTAGTATGCTACAGTACTAAACTTAAAAACTGTTGTCACAAAGCCTCATCATGATTGCCCCACAGTCATCTCACAAATGGTTATTTTGCGTTTTTAATTTAATTTCGTGGAAAACCGTCTTAACTTTTGGCAGTCTGAAAGAAATAAATGAAGAAAGAGATCAAAGAGAATAGCTGTTGACTATCACTAGCGCTGCACCTCAGTTCACCTACTGATATCGCCTACATTTTCCTTCAAAAGCAATTGTGGTCAGTATTAGCCATTATAGTGTGCATGGATCTGCACTTAGTAGTAGACCATCCAGGTACCTTTGGAATACTTATTTCAGCATACTATGATTTGGGACACACACATTCTAATGTTAAATACTATTTAGGGCAGGTCGTACATGAGTTGGGACACAGCATAGGTCTAGTTGAACGCATTGCATTTTGAGATATTGTTTTGAGCAGTGTGTTATGTTGTATACTGCACATTTTGGCCAAAGTAGTTGGTATGTGCAAAAACATAAATGTGGTTTTATAGATAAATAGGTGCATGAAAGAAAACACCAATCATAATTCAGTATGTAAATATTACAGTGACATCATTCCTGTGAGTTACATTTTGAAAGTTTGATAAGTTCATGAATGCTGGTCAAAAGAGAGATCTTCAGATTTTAAAATTCTTAAAAATATGACAATATGACAGATTGCTCACCTAAGGCTGAGTATCTATCAGACTGCTGTCTGTATACGTAAGTGGTTCAAGCTGAATTAATTGCAGAAGTCCATGAATGCTGGTCAAAAGAGAGATCTTCAGATTTTAAAATTCTTAAAAATATGACAATATGACATAGATTGCTCACCTAAGGCTGAGTATCTATCAGACTGCTGTCTGTATACGTAAGTGGTTCAAGCTGAATTAATTGCAGAAGTTTATTATTTAAAGTTAGAGGTTTAGAATAAACCCTAACCAGAATGTTTGAGGAACATCAATACAGTGCTGCCTTTCAAGATCTGTAGAAATGTCTGTGTGTTTTGAGAAAGTTTGAATTAGTCTTTGAGCAGTAGTGAGTTGGAGAGATTTTAAAATAGAGAAACAGGATGAGGCGTGGCGGCTCATTACCCCATTCCTATACATTTAACCTAAGCTAATTAAAAATAATGAGATTCTTAATGAACTCTCCTCATCACTCTTTAACTTTCCTGTCAGTCGAAAGCCCTTTCAGTTAATTCAGCCGTCTTCAGCCTTTCACTTGTGCGTTTCTGCTTGAAGAATCCTTCACTGTTTCACACACACACGCACACACACACACCTGGTCGCTCTTCAGATCGTGAGCTTTGAACAGCAGGTTTGTGAAGTGTTTCTGTCTGAATGCTGGTGATGTTGGCCTGTGTTTTTTCTTTTCAATATTCACTGGGTTTATTAGAGTTGAGAGGGACAATGACATATGAGTGACTAGAATTTAAGGTCGTTCTCTGTATTTTCACATTACTTCACATTCCTTTGTCATACTCACGTGTAAATAGCAAAGCAATCCTGTCTGCAATTTATCTACTGCGGTATAATGAGTACAACATTAATATCTTATTAAACTAGCAATGCGATATTCAATTACGATACTCAATACTCAAGTATATACATATGCACATATTGGGTTAAATACATTTACATTTACATTTATGCATTTAGCAGATGCTTTTATCCAAGGAGACTTACAAAAGAGGATCAAAAGCAATTTGTCAACAATATTTGAATTATAAATAGTCAGTTTTATATTGCATCTCAGCATTTTTCAATATTGAATGATGTGCAAATATATAGATTTCTCTCCATACTGGATTTCCCCCCCGCCCCCGTCACAAAATTGTGGAAGCCCATCTCCACCACATAAAAAAAAAATGTTTTGGTAAATCATAGTTGTGAGAAAAGGTCACAGTCTTGACAAAGTCATATTTATGAGATGAAAATTTCTAAATTATGACATTCTAAATCATTATCAGATAAAAGTAATAATTATGACATACAAAGTTTAATTATCATAACTATGACTAATTATTTTTGTCAAAATAATTTCGGTTGATCATTATTATGAAAGTTATAATTATGACATTAAAAGTAAAATTTTTGAGATACTAATATAATTTGTGTCATTATTATGTCTATCTCAAATATGACTTAATATGACAAATATGACATTAGTTTGACTTTTTTATTATGAAGCATGATTTTTTTCTTATGTGTCAGAGTTGGGCTTTCATACTAAATTCTCTGTGAATGATACATGTGATGCTGCCTTAGAATTTGGCTAAAAGAAAGTATATTAGGATACGTTTACACGGCAATAATATGCTAAAAATAGAAAAGTTTTTCCTTTTTCGCGTATAGACGATAACATTGTCAAAACGATCCCTGTTCACATGGATCTGTGGAACTATGCTGAATTATGCATGACAGGCCAGTAGTTGGCGATGTGACTTTGTAAAGAAACACTAAGCGAACACGTAATACACATGTGCATGACATCACCGTTTTCACAAATTTACGTTTTCATAGCTTACATAGAGACAATAACAGTATAGTATATAAAAAAAAAAAAAAAAACTTGCACTTCCCCGAAACGCTATTGTGTAAATGAATGACCGAAATACATAAGTTTTTAGTTGAA